CCCTTCAGCGGCCCCGTCGCCGCCCTTCCTCGGCCCCCTCGCCGCCTACAGCGGCCCCGGCCCTGCCCCGGCCATGCCCCGCCGCCAGCCGCGGCGCACCGGGGGCACGTGCACCGCCCCCCCCCCTTTTCCCGTCGCCCGTCGCGGCTCCTTCGGGGGCCGCAACCTGGGGGGGGGGGGCGAGCGTCGCCCCTTCTGCCGCCTGCTTTGGCGCCCTGAAAGGCCGCGCGTCGGCCCCCCCCCCCCTCCCTACCCGCCATCCCGCCCTGCCCTGTGTTAGGGTTTGGGGGTGGCAAGAAGGGGGTGACGGGTGTGTGGTCTCCCCTGCTCCTCCTCCTCCTTCGTCTCCCACTGCTGCAGCTGTCGCTGAGGGGGGTGGATGTGTGGGAGCCTGGGGTTTAGGGTTTAAGGGGGGTAGTGTGGGAGTGGAGCTAGGGTTTTGAGGGAGGTGGATGTGTGGGCGTCTGGGGTTTAGGGTTTACGGGGGTGCTGTGGGTGTAGGGTTAGGGTTTGAGCAGGGGGTATGTGAGAGGGGCGTTGGGCAGCTGGGGGAGGTTGCGTGGAGGCAGCCGTCTTGTCGTCAGCAGCACCAGCAGTCCAGAGGCTACAATCTCCGGTAGTCGCCAGTCGCCTGTGGGTCAGTTGCTCGTCTGCCGCTACTTTTAGCCGCGGAGCCAGTTACTCCTGTAGTCCGGGCCTTTGCTTAGGTAGCCACTGAGCCAGCAGCTCGTCTGTGTGTCTGCAGCGTCAGCAGTCGCCTCCCATCTTCTCTCCCCCACAGTCTCTCCTCCTCCTCACTTGCCCTCTGTGATTAGCTCTAGCCTTACTTACCTATTGTGAACTCCTGCTCTATGCCTGCTTGCTCATTGTGCTGATTACACCCCACTTTGGCTATGGGGGTGTGTCAGAATGTTATGTTTGTCTAGCCTGCAGTGGGGTACTCAATAGTGAGTACAGCCCAACTTAGGGTTTCCTATATGTACTCAACTGCTTGCTAGTGAACCCCTCTCTTCTTCATTTTCATTCTCAATTTTCACACTACTCGCTACGTCTGGGCCGTCAACACCGACAGCAGGTCTCTGGCCTTCGAGTGCTTCATTGCGTGGATGAAGCGGGCTGAGCGACAGTCTGGTCTCAAACTCAAAACCTGGCAGATGGACGGAGCCTTGGAGTTCTTCTCAGACGAGTTCAAGGAGCTCCTCAAGCAGAAGGGGATTGAGCACCTGGTGTCCCTGCCCTACGCTCACCAATAGCAAGGAGTAGCAGAACGGACAAACAGAAGCCTCGCCACGCGGATGTGGGCCCTGATGAAGTAGTCGGCCATCCCAACAAAATATTGGCCGTTTGCGATGAATCACGCTGTTCGGCTGCACAACTTGCTGTCCTCGCGAAGCCTTGAGAACAACAACTCTCCCTACCGAGTATGGACGGGCAGAAAAGCAGATACACGCCTGCTTCGGGTGTTTGGCTGCATGGTACAGTACAGACCCCACACTGCGAGAACCGGAAAATTTGTTGACCGGGCACGATGGGGCATCCATCTCGGGATCGAGAAGGAATTCAAGGCGTGGATCGTGCTGGACTACGCGACACACGAGGTGACGAAATCACGTGACTGCATCTTCTACGAGAAGCTAACTTTGCCCCTTTTTAAGGAACACCAAGAAGCCGACAAACTTCCCGAGAGGCTCTTCGAGGGGCACCGCAGCTTCGCCACGTCACACGACGAAGCTGACCTGGCCGAGGATACAGACGCACCTGATGTCACCCCAATGGACTCCGCTCCGAGCATCCCCCTCACAAGCCAATTCGGGACTCCGATATTCATATCTCTACACCAACCCGATCCTAACGATACAACTCGCGCGGCTCACGACTACAACAATGAGGCGCGCCGATCGCCTGATGCCGAGTTACCACAACCCAACTTGTCGCAGGATACCCTCCGCCTCGACAACGACAGCGATGACGACGTGGTCGAAGTTACCAGCTTCCACGACTATGACCGACTTCACTACGAAAAGACTGACGAAACCGGTCTCCGCGTTCTCAGCCTCGCCGTCGCTGTTCGCCACACCTCGCCCAAGGAACCAACCACAGTCCGCCAAGCCCTGTCTAGCCCCGACAGTGAAAAATGGAGAACAGCCATGGCCGCCGAAATCACGTCGCTGAAGAAACGTGGCACCTGGAAGCTAGTCCCTCGGTCATCGGCAAAGGGGAGAAAAATTCTCAGCGGAAAATGGGTTTTCCGCATCAAAACACTCGCAGATGGCTCGGTCGACAAGTACAAGGCGCGTTGGGTAGTTCGGGGATTTGAGCAAACACACCTGGTGGATTTCACGCTCACCTACGCTCCAGTCGGCCGCCACACCTCGGTACGCATTCTCATCTGCATCGCCGCCGTCAAACAGCGACCGCTCCGGCAAATCGACGTCGGCAGCGCCTTCCTCTACGCTCCCGTCGACGCCATCATTTTTGTCGAGCAGCCGCACGTATTCGAAGAAAATGATGGCGCTATGTGCCTCCTCCAAAAATCCCTCTACGGAATCAAGCAGGCGCCTCGTCTATGGCAGCAGTACCTCCATTCCGTCCTCCTTGAGCTCGGCTTCACTCAGCTGCCGCACGACCTCGGAATGTACAGACGGGAATCGCGCGGGAAACTCATACTCCTCGTCGCCTATGTCGACGACCTTCTCTACACCGGCGACGACACGGAGCTTCTGGACCAGTTTGAGGCCGACATAAAAAAGGAGCTGGAGGTAACAATCAATCACAATGTCACCCAGTTTCTCGGCCTCAATGTGACTCAGTCCGCCTCCTCCATTCACCTCTCCGCCGCCAAGTACGCCGAAACACTCGCAAAGCGCTTCTCCATCGCACCAATCAACCTCACTACCCCCTATCGCACTCCTCCTCCTAACCACGAGCCATACAACACATCGCTCTCTCCCGACAACCATCGTCTCTATCAGCAGCAGCTGGGATGTCTCCTGTTCGCCGCCGTCACGTGCCGGCCCGATCTCTCCTACGTCGCAAGCCAGCTCGCACAGTACCTGAAGCGACCTGAAGGGGAGAATCTACTGGATCTACGCCGAGCACTACAGTACTTCATCTCCACTCCCGACGTCGGCCTCACTTACGAAGCTAACCTCACCGCTACTCTGCAGCTCCATGGCTACGTAGATGCCGACCACGCTGGAGATGTTGACAACCGACGCTCCCACACAGGATTCATTTTTCAACTCCAACGAGCGGGACTCATCTCCTGGAACTCTCAGAAGCATGAACTCATCGCCCTTTCGTCAGCAGAAGCAGAATTCATCGCAGCTAGCGCAGCTGTTCGCGAAGGACTGTACCTGATGGAGCTCCTGCAAGAAGCGAAAGTGACGATGAACGGGTACTTCTCGTTACTCTGCGACAATCAGAGCGCGATAAAAATCGCAAACAAACCCGGCTTCGTCAACCGCACCAAGCACATCGCCCTTCGTTACTTCTTCGTGAAGGATGAAATCGACAAAGGGAAAGTCAAGCTGACGTACTGCCCGACCGGTGACATGGCAGCTGACTTCTTAACGAAGAAGCTACCACGTCAGCAGTACCAACCCTACGCCGACCTCTGCGGGATCACCAAGAAATCCCACGTGGCCCACCTTCAGGAATGAAGGGGAGTGTTGGAATAACCGAAAGGTTATATAAAGCATTCCCGAAGCTGTTCCACTGTACCAGTACCGCAATAGCTCATATAGAGCATGAGGAATGTCGAGAGTCACCCGAAGGTCAACCGTCTGAGAAAGTCAACGGTCGTGACCCTTGACAATCAAGTAACCGCGCGACAGTTACCGTATACTCCCGGACAAAACACCCCCCCATAATTGTACACCCCCGGGTAGCTTGTGCGGGGTGGGTGTTATGATCAGGGCCTCAGATTGGTTTTGGGCTAGGCTGAACAATCAGAGTTGGTACAAAAAAGTATGCTGAAAATCATATAAGTTAGCCATTTTATGCCATTTTACACAATAAAATTCATAGTTTTTCCTGTTTCTTTCCAAAAAATTGCTGAAAAATCAGCCCTGGTTCTAAACGAAGTCTGAAATCTCAGCCTTTTTTACCTAAATCAGCCGTTTTTCGCTGACTTCTGAGGCCCTGGTTATGATAGACCTCGTTTCTACTATACCCCCCTTTTTGGCTGATTTTCTATAACACCCCCCTTTTCTTACGGATTCATTATTATAGTCGTTAACGAGTAGCTGCAATACGGAAGAATATCGTGTGAATTTCTCCCTCGATGAAATTTCGCGGTACATTCAAAGGCAATCTGCCGAGATTTGCCCCTCCCACTATTTCTCTGTCGCCACGTGCAGGTGAATCTTCCGTTGCAAGTGGCAAGAGAGGTGCCACATGCCATTTTCGTGGGGGCGATGAAGTTCGAGGCCGAAACTCACATTCGCGCCTCAGGCAGTGATGCTAAAACGACCAGCAAAACACCCACATTGACTAATTAAAAAAACACTAACACTAAAATATGCCATATGTAAAGACCCGGGTATTATGTATTTTTTTCCTATGAGGAGACCCCCCCCATTTTTTCCCTGTATTTTTAGCTATACCCTAGGGTGTTATGTCCGGGAGAATATGGGTAACTCACTGCAACATGGTAACTGTCGAGCATAGCAATAGTCACGGTTACTGTAGCCATGCAATACAGTTAATAAGGGAATGTACCCCTCAGAGTACATGGCTAGCTAGTTTTCTACTTAATCTCTTGTACTCCTATCTTTCAATCATCTTGTTTACTTTCAATCATTATTCAACAAGGTCACTACAGAGACTTTATTGTCTCCTTACAGACTTAACAGATTCTATCCTATCCACTGAATCCTTGGTTATATCAGCAGATTGTATTTTTTGCCTGGTAAAACCAGCGAGAGGTTTCGGGTTTATAAGATTTTTCAGCGTGAACCTGATACGAGGCTCGCTTGATACGAAGTTAGGATCACGGTCTAAGCCGGGGGCATGGCCCCATAACTAAACACCCCGCTACGATCAAATCCGCTAGAATCAAACGACGCATCCAAGCCCTCCTCATATCCCCCCTCACCCCTCTCACCTCCACCTTCTCCCTCACCAAATCCCTCTCCTGCTCTGTATTCTTGATTAGGAGCAGCAACACCACCGCCACCACCAATTCCACCTGCATTCCCACCGCTTGCGCCTGCTACAATGACACCTGCTCCAGTTGCGCCTCCCCCAGCAGCTGCCGACGCCCCTCGGAAGGCGGCAACTGGTGCAGGTTTCATCTGCACGCCTACGTCGTGACTCACAACATAAGTTCCCCCAGTGCTTCTTGGATCATTTTGACCTGTTGGAACACAAGCACCATCAAGCTCTCTATCCCTCATACCCCGGATATCCCCACCAGTGGCCTCAGCAGCACCTGCTGCTGCTACCCCTGCTGCTCTGCCCTTGTATGCTGGGGGTCCCGGTGTTCTTTTCGAGGATGGAGGAGGAAAAGGCGCATAAGAAGCAGGGGTGGGTTGCGGTTGAGAGCGGTTAGGAGGGATAGGGGGGTCTGGGGTGAGAGGAGAATCACCAGCGTCAGAACGAGAAGGAGAGGCAGAGCTGATTGCTGCAGCCAATGCTGCACCTGCGGTACCTCCCACTGCCAAACCTTCCACCCCCGAGCCTGCCGCCGCCAAACCTGCCCCCCCTTCTCCACCACCCAGCCCCACCTGCTTCCCAGCTCCGGCAAACCGCGTCAGCCCCGCCCCACCCGGGCCAGCTCCCGAGCCTGACGGCGCGGTACGGAAGTCTGCCGAATCGTGAGACGGCGGTCCGGAGGAAATGAAGCGGGAAATCGCCTCCGGCTCAAGAACAGCCTCTAGCTCAGCCACAACTCGGGACATAGAGGGGCGGGCGGCAGGGTTCTGGATGTCGGTGCAGCGAAGGGCGAGGTCGAAGACGTGGTGAAGCTCGTCTGCAGGGTAAAGGCCCATGGTTGGGTCCACTATGGATGGTAATCCCCCTCTGTCAAACCGATCCTTCACCTGGGGAGGTTAAGGGGAGGGAGGTGGAATGGGGGGAAGGGAAGACATAGGTGATATGGAGGTGTTTGAGGTGGTTGAGTGCGGTGCAGTGCAGGGCGAGGTCAAACACATGGTGCAGCTCGTCTGCAGGGTACAGCCCCATGGTTGGGTCCACGATGGATGGTAAGTCACCCCTGTCAAACCGATCCTTCACCTGGGGGAGGATAGGGGCGAGGGACACAAGTGGAATTGGAGGGGTTTGAAGCGGTGAACTTCGGTGCAGTGCAGGGCAGGTGCAGCGCAGAGCAAGGTCGAAGACATGGTACAGCCCCATGGTGGGATATACTATGGCTGGCAGGTGGGGTTTAGGGAGAGGGAGAGAGGCGGTATGCGGTTGGGTGTGGTGCAGCTCGTCTGCAGGGTACACCCCTACGTGCCAAGTGGTGAGGTGTGATGTGAGCTCCCTTACCCCCACCCACCCAAGCTCCCTCACCTGATTCCGCCGGCCCAGCCCGCCTCAGCTCACATCGAATCGGTAGGGGCGGTTGACTTTGTGCGGCCCCTTGCCGGTGAGCAGTTCAAGTAGCACGATGCCCAGCGAGTACACGTCGATGCGCTTCGAGGAGTGCCCCGTGCGCAGATAGTCCGGGTCACAGTAGCCCTGGGGGAGATGGGTGAAGAGGAGGAGGTGGTGGGAGTATAGGCAGCAGGGTTAGGAGTGTGGGTTTGCTTGCCCCGCACACTGGTGCGGTAACATGTCGATGCGCTTGGAGGAGTGCCCCGTGCGCAGATAGTCCGGGTCGCAGTAGCCCTGAGGGGCGGCGAAAAAGCACAAGGGAGGGCAAACAAAGGCAGGGCGAGTGGGATGAAGGGACAGGGTAGGAAGTGCCCCCTGCGCAGATAGCCCGGGTCGCAGTAGCCCTGAGGGGGAAGGGGTTGGCGCGGGAGGGGGGTGTATGGGGGGCAGTATGGAAGGGGATGAAGGGACAGGGTAGGAAGTGCCCCCTACGCAGATAGTCCGGGTCGCAGTAGCCCTGGGGGTGGGGAAAGTAGGGGGAAAGGGGGGAAGTAGGGAGGGAAGAGGGGAGGAGGGGGCTACTTCAGTACACAAACCATTCCAATACTTCATAAACACTCACAACACGTGACGCGCTGCAGCAACGAGCACTCACAGCGGTGCCTTGGATGGTGACTGACATCTTCCGCAGCTCCTCGGGCGTCATGGGCTTGGACGTGCCAAAGTCAGCAAGTGGAACTGGACTCACTCGCCACTCAACTACCCGTGAGCACTCACAACAAGCACTCCCAAGAGCACTCACAGCGGTGCCTTGGATGGTTACTGACATCTTCTGCAGCCCCTCAGGCGTCATTGGCTTGGACGTGCCAAAGTCAGCAAGTGGAACTGGACTCACTCGCCACTCAACTACCCGTGAGCACTCACAACAAGCACTCCCAAGAGCACTCACAGCGGTGCCTTGGATGGTGACTGACATCTTCCGCAGCTCCTCAGGCGTCATGGGCTTGGACGTGCCAAAGTCAGCAACCTTGGCCACCACGTGCCGGTCGATCATGATGTTGCTGGGCTTCACGTCCCGGTGGATGAAGGGTGGCGGAAAGGTGAGAGAGAGGTAGAAAGAGGTGGGCACTATCCAGCCCAAGAAACAGCACTCACAGCGGTGCCTTGGATGGTGACTGACATCTTCCTCAGCTCTTCCGGAGTCATGGGCTTGGTCGTGCCGAAATCAGCGATCTTAGCCACCACGTGGCGGTCGATCATGATGTTGCTGGGCTTCACGTCCCGGTGGATGAACGGCACGTTGATCTCCTCGTGCAGGTATGCTAGGCCTCTCGCCGTGCCTGCTGCTATGAGGAGTCTTTCTGTCCAGTTGAGTGGCGGACGGCTGTGGCCTGTGTGGGTTTGCGAGAAGGGAGAAGAGAGGGGCAAGTGGAGGGAAAAGAAGGGGAGAAATGGGGTAAGGGAGGAACGGCACGTTGAGTTGATCTCCTCGTGCAGGTATGCTAGTCCCCTCGCCGTGCCCGCTGCTATGAGCAGGCGCCCTGTCCAGTTCAGCGGGGGGCGGCTGTGGCCTGTGGGGTGGGGGGAAAGAGAGAGAATGGAGGAGAGAGGGTTGGGGAGAGGGAGGGAGTGGGGGTTATGAGGATTGAGGGGGGAGGGAAAGGGGCCCACCGTCCCGGCCTTCCATACGAGGACACCCCAGCAACCTGGGATTCAAACTCCTCCTCCAATCACTCTGAAGCCAAATCATATTCACGCTCTCTCCAGGTGGGGTTGAGGTTCTGGGACAGGTCCCCTCCTGCCACGTACTCACACACTCGCAGCTGCTCCCCTCCTTCCGTGCAGTAACGCACCAAACACCCCTGCATCCACCCACCCCCCACAGACATCTGTGCACCCAAAGCTAAACCCTCTGAGCAGTTTAGAAGCTAATTCATATTCACGCTCTCTCCAGGTGGGGTTGAGGTTCAGGGACAGGTCCCCTCCCGCCACGTACTTACACACTCGCAGCTGCTCCCTCCCTCCCCGCACCACCGCACCAGCCACCTACACACGCATCTACCTGGCATCAACCTGGCTTACAACCAGCCATACAAACGGTACGATTTCCCCAGGACCCAGGAGCCATACTCACGTTCTCTCCACGTCGGGTTAAGGTTCTGCGACAGATTCCCTCCCGCCACATACTCATACACCAGCAGCTGCTCGCCTCCCTCCCTGCAGTACCCCACCAGTCGCACCAGGTTCTTATGGCTGACCCGAGACAGCAGCTCAATCTCCTTTCGGAATTTCCCTGCATCCTGCTTCCGGTCCGCCTTGGCTCTTTTCACCGCTACCACGTCCCCGGAGGATAATTTCGCCTTGTACACCATTCCGTAGGTACCCTGCCCGAGATGGTTGCCCGAGGCGAAAGTGTTGGTGGCGTCTACAAGGACTTTCAGGGGAAAGCTGACCACCTTTTGGATGTCAAACGTCCCCGTGCCTCCGCCCGAGCCTGGATCGTCAGGCTCGGGCCGAACCTGCTGCTGCTGTTGTTCTGCCTTTGCACGCACCGCCTCCTCCTCCTGCTGCTGCTGCTGCCTCTGCTGCTCCTCCTTTTTTAACCTCCGCAGCTGCTGCCGCCTATCCTCCTCCTCCTCATCTCCCACCTCTTCCCCCCTTCTCTCCTCTTCTTCCTCCACCCCATCCCCCTCCCTTACCTCTCCACTCCCCACCCGCCCCCCTCTCCCTCTTCTTCCACCCGCCTCGCTCGTTGCCGCCTCCTTCCCCTTTCCCTTCCCCCTGTCCTCCCCGCCTTTGCTAGAGCTTCCCCCTCCCCCTCCGCCCGCCCCCTGCGCCCTCAGTTCCTCCTCCGGAGACACAGAGGAAGTTACAGCCGCACCTGAGGTACCTGGGGATGGGGGTTCGAGGGAGGGAGGGAGGGGTGGGGGATGAGGGGGGAAAAGGGGAAAAGCTCAAGTCTGCGCCATAGCCTCTCCGCCCTCCCCCTGCGCCATAGCCTCTCCGCCCTCCCCCTGCGCCCTCAGCTCCTCCTCCAGAGCCACAGAGGAAGTTACGGCCGCACCTGAGGCACCTGGGGGATGAACAGTCGAGGGAGGGGGGGAGTGGGGCGGAGGAAGTTCAACTCTGCTGCGCCTTCTGCACCTCCCCTCCCCCTCCGCCCTCCCCCTGCGCCCTCAGTTCCTCCTCCGGAGCCACAGAGGAAGTTACGGCCGCACCTGAGGTACCTGGGGATGGGGGAAAAGGGGGAGAAGGGGAAAATGCGGGTGAAGGGCGGGAAAAATGGGGACGTGAAGGGAACTGGGGGGGGAGAACGAGGTGAGCAACGAGGGGTGGGAGAGGGGAGCGGAGGGGACAGCGGGCGAGGGGGGTCTTAAGTGGGGAGAGGAAGGGCGGGGGGTGTGAGAGGAGGTTGGGGGCGGAAGGGGGGGGGGGGTGGGTGAGTAGAAGACGTATAGCAGCCGCCTTCCAAGCAGCTGAGAACAACCTATCCGACACATTGCCTCAATAATTGCATACACGCTACTTGATTCCTTGTAACACCGGCGATGCATTTCCCCAGCACACCTGAAGATTCTCCTGGCCGTCTGGGCGGCAGTCGCTTCCATAGCATGCACGCGACCACTGTAGCACCCATCGATACAAGCACGGACACCGCGAGAGCCACCACCAGCGCTACAACCACAACCGTGTCGCTGCTGCTGCTTCCGCTGCTGCTGCTCCCGCTGCTATTTCCGCTGCTGCTGCTGCTGCTCCCGCCATTGCTCGCGCTACTGTTCCCGCTGGAGTCAGCAAGCAGCGTTCTACGCGGCCACCGTGGTGAGCTTGTAACGGGTTCGGCTGGCAAGTCGCGACCGGACGCTTCCGCCGACGGCGTTTGCACTTGCGCGCAGGAGCGCGCGGCGGAGCTGGCCAATATAGCGGCGACGAGAACCACGTTAAACGATAATATGAGAAGCGCGGGGAAAGGCCGTGTCTGCATGCTTAAATCGCGGCTCCAACAGATGCTCATAGTGGGAACACGTGGAGAATGCTGACACGCTGAATGTAGTTGTACCTCCTGAGACCTTATAGTTGGTAGTATCTTCTAGAAGATGAGTACAAGAATTTCATTAGTCTTGGTTGTCTTGGCATCTCTCAAATGCCGACATCCAAATACGACCCCAACTTTTAAGACTTTTCAAATGTAGGCTCACTTACGTATTTGTACCTGCAAGTAAGGGTTGCAGCTAACATGCGAGTGCCTGACCGCATTGCTGGATCGTAGCTTTCGCTGCGGGACTTTGGCGTTCGAAATTAAGCGAAGTGGGGTGAGAGCTGTTAGGACGTAAAGCTGCTTGTGCGGGCTCTAGACGGTACCTCCACTCGTGCTGTTTTTAGGAGGTAAATCTTCTGGTGCTGGTATTAATAGGAACGAAATCGCGAAGGAACGAGAAATATGAAAACACGATTGCTCAATTCAGTCCAGGCCGCTGCGCTTTTCTGCGGTTTTCGTCACGCGCTCCTTTCGTTCAGAACTTGCAATGCTTCTGTCGGTTCAAAACACCCAACAGGCGCACCAAGACAAGAAATTATATGTTACAGAGAGCCACGAATAAATAGAAGCCCGAAGCGCGAATAAATAGAAGCCAGGAGTCGCGCTTCTTACTGGAAATGCCTGACACTACGAACTAATAATGCGAAGCGTGAATGCTTCTGAAGCACCTAATAATTGTGGAAAAACAAGGTCGGAGCCAGCCACCAGTTCACTCTCGCCCTACCAAACCATTCCATCCGTAGAGTTACCGTCCTAGAGCGCAAACCGCCTCGCTCAACCGCATTCAAACGAACTTCCTGAACACACCTACTTAGTTGGATAAGGTCCGTGGGTGGTGGGACCAGCGAGAATCAACGACGGCACAGAGCACGAGCAGAAATATTGCCGCGCTTTCCGACCCACCTCAATTTCCGCAAATATATTTCGAGGTTACCCGTAACAGGCAAAACCTTGGAAACTTCGCAGCCTAAAAAGTTGTCGAAAATAAAGCAGAAGAGGATTCACACTCCCGTTGTTGGGCTGCGCTCGCTGAACCAGAGTTCTCAAACTTTCAACGTCGTTGGCTCCACCCGCTGGTTGCAGCAGAAATGCAGCCCACTTACAGAATTCGTCATTTACAGCGAAACTTTTCAACGTAACGCTCAACGGAATCTCCAGAATCTCACATCATACATGATGCTCCGAAAGGAGCATTAGCCCTGGAAAGTTTACCTTCTAGACACACTCAATACTCAAGGCTTGTTAGTTAGCCAATATGAACATAAGCAGCTCTTATCTATCTTATTACGCAAATATCAATGTCCGAATGTTTCTACCATGCTTCTTGCTCCTCAACGTGCGCAGGTAAAGGCATCACGGGTAGCGAAGCTCGCCTTCTATGCGGCAAAGACCTACTTTTACCCGACGACCCAAACACCGGTGCCTCCTCATCCTCCTCACCCTCCTCTTCTACATCAAACAACCCTCCCCCTCCCACTCTCTTCCTCCCACTCCCCCCCTCGCTTGCGCGGCGGCCTGAAATCGCACAGCCTCTACCATTCAAATTTGCATCACACTCCTCATGCCTAACCACAGCCATCTCGTTCTTGTGTGGCTCGGAATCCGAGGGTCTAATGCTAGAAGACTGGTTCGGTAGCGGTACCGGGGCTTTCCTCCTCGCAGAGAGAGCAGATGGAGACCGCATCAGCAGGCGGGGCGACGGGGAAACGAGGGCCGCTGCAGCGACAGAGTTAGATGACTGGGAGCGCGACAGTTTGCAAGAAGACTGCTCCAGTTGCCAGGAAGGGGAAGCACTGGTGAGTGACGGAGCAGGGGGCTTCAGAGAGGATAGGGAACGGGAAAGGGAAGAGGAGGAGGAAGCTTGGGAAGAGGATATGATCGCGGCGAGAAACGGGGAGGGCTGCAGGGGTGGAGGCGACACATCTTCCTCCATGCACGAATCTTCACATGGGGTCATCAAGCCATCGTGTGTGAATTTCTGGAAAACCCCGGCGCCAACTGCAGAGTGAGCGGAAGGCGACCCAAAGGGCATCCTGACAACCCTGCTTGAAACTGCTGAGCCTGTCTCATAGCTTGAGCTCTTGCCTAGCGCTCTTTTGGGGTCACGGCTGTTTGTCGCACCAGCACGGGCTGCAAGAGTGGTGGTGAAAGGTGATTCCCTCATGCTCAGGCTGCTCTGGGAGCTGAAGCTGGCCGCCCGCATGTGGGCTGCTAATGGCCGCATTTGGAGCTCCTGTGGTGCTGATGGGCCTGTTGGGCTTATGTGGCCTGCTGTGGCTGAGCCAGCCCCTGTGCCAACAGCAGCAGCAGCAGCAGCAGCAGCAGGAGCAGGAGGCGGAGCAGCAAGAGCAGGGGCACCTGCAGCTGTGAAAGAAGCACCAGCATCATCAGCAGCAGGGCGGTCAGATGCGGTGGCTGCAAGATAGCTAACACTAGAACCAGAAACAGCAGCTGCAGCATTGGTGAGCCGTTCGGAGGTATTGCGGCGGGAGATGGGTGGAACAGACGACGCAAATTTGGGAAGTCCCATCGACAAACACCGAGCCATCCCCTTCTTCCTCCCTTGCTGCTGCTGCTGCTGCTCTCCACTCTGCACCTGCTGCATTCCCTGAAAAAACCCGCTCTCTACATGCTCCCGAACCTTCCTTTCCCCCTCCGCCCACAGCACGCCTTCCCTCATCCCCTCGCCACCCTCCTGACCCCCTTTCCCCAGAGAAGCCGACAGGTGGGTAGGAGGAGTGAGGCTTTGAAACAGCAGGGCAGGTTTGGTTGCTGCTCTAGGAGAGGTGGGAGCGGAGGCAGCAGAGACAGTAAAAGCAGATGCTCTCCTCCAAACAGGGTTGGAAAGTATTTGGCTCTCCTGGTGCTGCCTGCTCCCTCTGCCATTCCTCTCCAAAGGCGAGACTCTCTCAGCTGACTCCTGTCCCACACTGGCAGCACCTTCCCCAGATACGTCCAGGTGGAGGTTGGTTTGCAGGGACGACCCGAAGGAAAGAGGCGCATCTGCTGCTGCTCCTGCTGGGGCTGCTGCTGCTGCTACTGCTGCACCTGCTGCTCCTGCTGCTGCAGTGGTAATCCATGCACCGGCCCCTTTTGGCATTGTGGCCTTAAGCCGTGGATCACGAAGGAAATCAAACAAATCCGGAGGGTCCTGCAGTGCCTGTGGCTCCTGAGGTGGCTGAGAAGCCGGAGGAGCTTGAGCTGCTTGCGCTGCTTGCGGTGCTGCTTGCGGTGCCTGCAATGCTTGCGGTGTTTGGGCTGCTGTGTTGGAACAAAACGGCTTTTGAGGTGCACCAAAAGGCCCCTCTTTTGCCACAGTGGCTGTCAGTCTGGAATCACGTAGGAAACCGAAGATATCCTCAGGTGCCACTCCCCCCTCTACAATCACATTCACCTTCCCATCACCATCCTTCTTCTGCTGCTGCTGCTGCGGCTGCTGCACATTCTGAAACACACCCTTGCCTGCTTCTGCTCCACCCAACCCTCCATCCATCCGTGCTGCTGCTGTACCTCCTGCAACCCGAGACTTCAAACCAGACTCGTCGATATCAGTTTTTTTTGTCCCACCACCCGACTCAAAGTTTTGGTTCCACCCTCCTACGCGCGTAGCACTTACGCACTCAGAGGAGGAAGTTTTAGAGCCTGAAAGGGCACTACCCGAGCCTCCCCCTGTGCAGGCAGTGCGTTTCCGGTTCCCTTTCCCAGCATCGTGTTCTGCCATCCCTTCTTTCACCCCTGCAGAGAAGCATGAGGAGTTCAGCACGAGCTGAAAAATGCCGCCCAGTGGCGATCGCGAGCGCCTTGGGCTTGGCGCAGCAGAATTGCTTCCAACTTCTGCCACACGCGGACGCAGAGGCAGAGTCGCCTGCAAGTTTTGCGGATCAGATTGTTTTGAGATTGTCTGCCGCCCACTTTCTGAAACTTCTTCTACCCGCCCTTCCCCGCTCGTACGGCTACTCGCCTGCCCCCCTGCCCTCGCCGCCTCCTTTACTGCTTCCCAGTCACCTTCGAAACTTTTTATTTTAATAAACACTCCATTTTTGCTGTTTTTGTCCTTGTAACGACTGTTGTAACCAGCTGTGCCATTCCCCTCGTCGCGAAACCCGCTACTGTTCGTACCGCTGCTTGTGGAGCTATCATCCGAACTGCCGGTTGGCGTACTGCTTGTGCCACTAACGGTGGTTCCGCTGCTGTATCTGTGTTTGTTGCCACCCAAACTAGCAGGGAACTCCTTCCTCCGCCCTTCATCTACAGTCACATTGATGCAACCCTGACTGCCGAGGTTCCCGCTCTTTGTATCAAATCCCCCGCCACTATCACTCACGATTTCGCCGCTCCTCCAACCCTGACTCTGATTTTCGCTACATTTGCTCTTAGTTTCTCCTATCCCACTGTCTCGATCAGCCCTTTCCATGCCGCTCCCGCTCCTCTCTTTATCGCTGCCCGTGTTTCCGCGCAACCGTCTGCTGCCAGTCGCGGAGATGATCCGGTGAAGATCCGTCGCACCCAGCGTCGAAGAGCGCCTGTACGACTTCGCACGCGACGACCCAGCGTCGTCCCGCGCGGAGTCCAGGGGACCCGACCGATCCGAATCGTATTGCGAGTCACAGAGGGGAATGTTGTCGGATAGGTTCGCGCTTCGTTGCGGGAAATCTTCCGCGGCTATCAGTCCGCCAGCCTCTGGCGCAGACGATAAGGAGTTCCGCGCGCTCGTGCCGGTCGTCGCAGCGGAACGCCCGGAAACGGACGCTGGAATAGCTCCACGGTGCTCTGCGAAACCCGTTATGCCCGCCGCCGCGCTCTCTTGTTCGTCCCCCGCCGCGGAGCGCCTCGCCGTGCCTTTACCCATTTCCGCAGTTTCTGGAACCCGCGCTGCTTCCGCCACGTGGCATACATCCAGCGGTGAGTCAGCGGCGGCGGCGCAGCGGCAGATGGCGTAATCGATGGCGTATTGCAGCATCCAGGAGAAGTGCGCGCTCGACACTAAGTTGCGCGTCGCGTCGCGCTCTTGCGGCCCTATCGTCATGCCGCGCAGCCGCAGCGGCGAGCCCCGACGGCCTGCTGAGCAGGGAAGAACGGCAGAGTTGGAAACGCGAAGCATTTAGGGTGCGAACGACAGACATGCAGGGGAAAACGACTCACGAAAAACACTCATGCCGTAACAATGAGGCCGGCGCAACCTTGTCCAGTGCGTACCCTCGACCTGCGCGTACCCTTTTGCAGATACGCGGAGAGCGCCCTTGTGTTGCCGCAGACGCTGAACCAATCGCGCAGCAGCGCGGGGTCCGCCGCCATGTGGTCATCCGCCGCCACCACTGCTACCCGCCATTGCTGCGCCCGCGCGCGTGAATCCCCCTTCGCAATTCCGCCTTCGGCTTCGGACTCCGCTCCGCCCATCTGCTTCCGCCCTCCCCACTTCCCCCCGCCACCGCTCTTCAAAGGCAGCGACCGCGTGCTGTGCGCGTCGTCTTCCCCCTCGCTCTCGTCGTCGTCGTCTGCCCATGCTTTCCGCCTAATCCCCAACGGCGCTGCTAAAGTTTCGTCGTTGCCAAGATCCGAGCCCGGGCCGTTTGTTCCGCCCATCGGGATCGCGAATAACGGTAACACGCTGTACACGTCACCTATTCGCCGATTGTGCGACTCGAGCCCGATATCTATGGCTTCAAGCGGAACGTTGGTGCGCACTTCGACCCCCAACAAGTCGTCCCGCGCGCACCCTGCCAAAACCGCCGTTTGCGGGAAAAAACCGCGCGCCACTGGGCATCCTGCGGGAACGGGGTCGGTGAGCGGAGAGAGTGCTTCGGGGTCGCTCACAACAAGTTCGCGAATGCGCGTGCGACGTTCGCGTTGCGCCGCCATTTCCTCGCGCACGAACAGCTCTTGGAGGAATGCGGCGTCGCGCTTCTTGAGTGGCACCGCGCGTGCGTAACGACCGGCGGAACCACTACTGATAGAACCATTGGCGGCTTCCCCTCCGTGCAAAGCCGCGGCATCGCGTGAACAGTCGGAGGCGGGTGACTTCGGCGGCTGCGGCGGCGCTGTGCACACAAACCGGCAAAGCCCGAGATCTGATCGTGCGGAATCGTTGAAGAGAGGAGGGTGGTGCCATGGATGGGACATATCACGCGGCTTGGAGCAGCTTTCGCATATGGAAGACGCGAACGAGGAGGGGTTTAGCTTTAGGCTGGCTTGAGTAGCCATTGTAGAGTCCAGTCTGGGGAGTGTACGATGCTGGAGCGAAGGATTTATGTGAGGGACGCACGTCCCTGCTTCTACGAAATTCATCCCTGCTCAGGCCGCGGCTAGCAGTGCTAAATTTTGATTCGCCCCATGAGTGTGTGGACTGTAGGAGGTCACCCGGTGGATAGATGGTCGATGCAGCCTGTTCAACGAAACCGATGCTTGTTTATTCTGCTCTGTTTCCGAGTCAGCAGTTAGGTCTTCGTCCCGCTGCTTCAAGCAAGCTTAGTGAGCCACTTCCACGCACTTGTAGGTATGTCGATGCCTACAATATTCTACGTTACCGTAACCGTCGCCACTTTCACGCACTTGTATGGGGTCAATGCCTACGAGACTCTATGTAGGTTACCTCATCAAGAAGGCATAGTGTCAAGAGAGCATCGGACTCTCCTGACACGACAGCAACCTCCTTGGCATCTAATCACGTGGGGGGATTCTTTCGTGCTATGCCGTGCCGTCGCTAGGAGCTTCGTTGGTTGGAATCTCGCTTCCCGCAGATGTGAGTCGCACACCCAGCTTTGGAGTTCGAATTTCCATTTCAAGTTCCATCCAACTCAATCCAGCCATCCCCAAGAAAGTGAAGCAGAAGAACAGCAGCACTGTACTGTGGGATGGGACACAATCATGGATATGCAGTACAAGTGATGCCTACCCCATGCACGCGAATTTGCTCTGCAACGGATGGAAACGCTGCACCCGAGGTTGTTTCCCCAGCCTGTTGCACCCACGTTACAGGCGCGTCGCGTGGTTATGAACCAATAGTAACAAACAGACTGAAGTCAAACTGAAGAGACTGAAGTCAAAATGTCAACGAAAAGGGTTATAGATCCTCTATATAAGCACCTGCGAATCCTTTTAGCTAGCCGCGAATTGACGAAACTTTGACGACAGACAAGTTACGCATTATAAGTCCTCTTTACAAGGCGACCGGGTGTGGCTCAAACAAGCATCATGTGTATTTTAAGAACAAACAAACATCACACTTCTCGCAACGGGTGTCTGATTGCGGTCCAGAAAATTTCTTGCTCAGCAAGTGAAATTCTATGCGAGACTAAAACGGCTGAGCAGGGTGGAGAAAGATACAGAGCGTTCAACGGTAGGGCAGCGCTACAGTTTCGCTGTTGGAATTGCCCACGGATTACCATCAAATGTGTAACCAAATCTTTTGCACACACTAATTTGACGAAAACGACGGCTACATCAATTCCGTACTACAGTACAAATGTTGCCAGCCAGCATACAAAATTTGGGCGCGTCGCAGGTGAGTACTCTGTAGCCATTATGGACTCCATCCACAACAGTTTTGGCCTGGTCAAGGGGTGTCTACAAGAACATGTCACATCCGATACACGATAATTGTAGCTTGATGTTCATACAGAATGAGCTAACAAGCAAGTCATGAATGAATTAACAGTGAAAATGTGCTATGTGACTGAGAGGGCCTCCAGGAAAAGAGGCTCTGGAGGGGTGGCGAATGGCGCATTGGCGACTCGTGGCCCTCAGAACCAAGAGGCAGTTTGTAAATGCGCCCAATCTTGAAAATTAGAGGGGTTTGTAGTGCAAGCTTCTGGACACAACATTCATGCCTATTATACCGTAATTTGATATGATCATCTGACAGGCTGTCTCGCCTCACTAGAAACGATTTTAGGTTGTATACGGGACGCTTTTGCAGCACCAAGCCCGCTCCTTGCCACAGGCGACGAAGAAGGCAACGACGACTTGCCTGCAGCCACTCCTGGATTTGTAAGCTCAAGCGTAATAACAGCTTCACGAGCCTGAGTAACAGGCTTGGCGATAGGGATCAAAGGGGGTACGAGAGGGCTGTTAGGCCCGATGCCGGTGCCACTGCTAGCCCAGCTAGCATCCCGCGTATGAGAGCCTTCCTTGCTCCTTTTCTTTGCACCGTTTGCCACAGCAGTTTTTTTCACACTGCCGTCCTTTTTGCCATCTTTTGTGGTGGAGCTTACACTCGATTTGCTGCTCTTCCCGGGCTTTAAGGAGAAGGACGAGGCTGCTCCTTTGCCGGCTTTGCCGGCCGTGACGGCCGTGATGACGGTGACGGCGGTGCTACCCTGGGCACTAGAGGCCGGGGCATGAGTGGGAGTGTGGGACTGCTGCTGACCCTGGGTGGGGGCCTTTTGAGATGTTTCTACACTCGTGGCGCCACACTCGGCGCTAGAGGGAGGGGAACGAGGGGGAGTGTGTGGCTGCTGCTGCTCCTGCTGACCCTGAGTGGGGGACAGAGGAGCGGTGGGAGTAGGAGAGCGAGGAGAAGGAAGAGCAGCAGGGGAGCGAGGAGAGCGGAGACTGGTGGTACCGTGGCGGGTAGAGGCAGCGTGGGGAGTTGTGGTCTGAAGAGTGTTGGTTTCAAGAGATGACTTGCGAGTCAACCTAGAAGTCACGTCAGCGGCCTGGAAGGCCTGACGCGATTGGTGGGCGGGAGTGGGTGAGAGTGCTACTGCGCCTGCAGGCCGCCTTGCCATGGTTTTCCGCCGAAACACTGCTGCCGTGTGGCCGGTGTTCGTTGTCTCGTAGTCGTCGGCGGGCGGGTGGTGGTTTGCGTTGGTATCAGTATTGGTGTTGCTACTAGTGTTGCCATTGGTGATGGTGTCGGCGGGGTTGGTGTTTGCATTGGCATTGCTGCTGGTGCTGCTACCCGTGTAACCAAGGCCGCTGCTGTCGAAATTAGCAGTACCAGCACCAGTGTTGGTGCTTCCAGTGCTATAGCCCCACTCCCTTTGTCCATCCCAGCCCCCCGCAGAGCCACCAGCAGCATTGGCAACACCAACACCACCGTTACCACTACCAACACCAGCAGAACCAGCACCTGTAGCACCAACAGCAGCAGGGGCAGCAGCAGCGCCACCGCCACCATACCGCCGTTGACAAACAGCTCCCTTCTGCATAGTCGCAGCAGCGCGGGCAACAAACGGGGAGGGACCCATACCCACACCCACGCCCCTGCTTCTCCCCCTCATCCCCCCACCAGTCGCGGCAGCAGCAGCCACAGCAGCAGCGAGATCTGACGAGTCGAATGAAGGGCCGAGATCGCTCGACAGCCGGCCGATACTGGAGATTGTGGGAGTAAGGGAAGCGGGAGTGCGGACGACAGGGGAGCAGTAGGCTGACTGGGAAACGGTCAGGTGGGAGGAGGAGGGAAGGAAAGAAGAGGAGGGCTTTAAGGAAGATGAGCAGTTGAAGGAAGAGGAGTTGGAAGAAAAACCGGTTAACTTGGTGGTGGCAATGGGAAAGGCAAAGGAGGAGGAAGAGGAGTTAAAGGCAGTGGAGGGCTGCAAGGAAGACGAGGAGGAGGAAAATCTACTGTTTCTGGCATTCATAAGGCTCTGGTGCTGCTGCTTCTGTAGCTCCAGGGTTGCTGATGCTCGCATCGCGGCTGCTAATATGGGGGATGGGGACCGACGCGAGACCCATGCACCTGCAGCGGCATTGGCTGCTGCTGCTACTCCTCCTCCTCTTGCTGCTGCCGCTGCTGCTGCGCCTCCCCCTGCCGCTGCTACTGCTGCTTTTCCTGCTGTTGCTATAGCAGCAGAATGTGTGGAGGCAGAAGCAGGACGAGCAGTAGTAGCAGGAGCAGCAAGAGCAGCAGAAACAGCAGTGGCAGCCACACTCGCTCTCCGTCCCAACCCCACCCTCTCCACTCCCCCCTGCATCAGCCCATCTGCCCGCCCAGCAGCTTCCAGAACCCTTCCTTCGGACCCTTGCCGTACTAGGACCCTCATTTCCGGGACTGATTTACTGCCGAGCGAATCAGGCGCTAAGCGTCGGTTCAGTTCGGATAGAGCTTGAGAGGAGGGGAGCGTACGTGCCTTGTGGACAGGGAGAGAGGTGGGTGAGGAGGGTGAAGAGGGTGAGGGGGGTGAGGGGGGCGAGGGGTATAAGGGGTGTGAAGGGGAGAAGGAGGAGGAGGAGGCAGAGCGGGGGGCATGAGGGAAGATCTTGGCATTATCAACAACCGAGAGAGAAGGATCAACCGGGTCATTATCACCATCCTGCTCCCCCTCCCCCTCCTCCTCCTGCTCCTCGTCTTCGTCTCCCTTCAGAGGCACCCAGTAACGCACAGGCGGCTGCTTTTCCTCGTCCCCTGGCTTGTCCCCTGCTTCTGCTTGCTCACTTGCTCCTGCTCCTCCTGTTCCTATGAATCCTCCTCCTCCTCCTGCTTCTCCTTCTTCTCCTGCTCCTTCTCCTGCTACTGCTCCTCCTTCTGCTGCTGCTTGCCCCGATTTTTCAGCCTCTTTCACTGCTTTCACATGTTTTGCAGCCCTCCGGGCAGCCTGGAGAATTTCAGATGCCCGGCGCCTCCCACTCCCCGAACCCTCCTCACCTTTCTCCAAGCCCCTTCGATAAACAGCACTTTTGCTTCTGCCCGAAACCACCAGGGGAACTTCCCCTTCCATTTCAACCGCACTCGACCCATTCGCATCACTTCGGCTTGACCCAGCCACTCCCTCTCCCCCTTCCTCACCTAGCTTCACCACTCTACACCCCTCTGAGCTGCTCTTGCTCCTGCCTCCTTTCTTAATCTTCACAACCCTTGGACCAGAAGCAGTAGCAGCAGAGCCAGTCGCAGTAGCAGCAGAGCCAGTCGCAGTAGCAGCAGCATCAGAGCGAATAGAAACAGAGGAAGGGCAATCACTGAAACCATCCTCTGCCTTCACCTCTGCCACTCTGCCCCTACCATCTGCACCACTTCCCACTCCAGCGTCTCCCACTCCACCGCTCTCCACTCCATCTAAAGCCTTTCCAACACTCTTTGCTTTCCGAATCTTTCGAGACTGCACCCTACCACTCGCTACGGTCATACCTGTGCTGTTCTGAAGCTCGTTAGAGTCACACTTGCTCCTGCTGCTAGTCTCACCTGTTGATCTCTTGTCAAACCTCCCACTTGAATCTCCCTCACTCGCCCCTCTCCAACCCATCCCTCTCTCACTCATCCCTCTCTCACTCACCCCTCTCTCACTCTCATCCCCCTCGTCCTCCTCCCCTCCAGCAAGTGTCATCTGGAAATCTGTATAGTCATTCCAATCCTGCCATTTACCACTTTGAGGTGTTTCAACGCATGGCGCAGCATCATCCTCGTTATTAGCAGATCCGGCCCCTCTGGACCACACCGAACCACTCGATAATCTGCTACTGGACGAAGCTTGCGAGGCAGAGCGACCGAGAGCACGGCTGTTGGCTGCAGAGAAAGAAGCAGTAGCAGCTGGGGCAGCAGAGGTAGCAGGAGCAGCTGGGGCAGCAGAGGTAGCAGGAGCAGCTACAGAGGAAGCAACAAAAGCAGCAGCAGCAGCTGCAGCAGAAGCAGTGGGTGTGGTAGCAAGCAGAACGCCGCTGCTGCGGTTGCGACGGTGCCTTAACGGCTGAGACAGCAGCAGATGAGTCGACTTGCCTCCTGTCATCCCACCACCACCACCACCACCAGCCACGCCAGCAGCAGCACCAGCCACACCACCAGCAACACCAACAGCCACGCCAGCCACACCAGCAGCAGCACCAGCAGCAGCACCAGCAGCAGCAGCAAGACCGGCAGCAACAGCAGAAGCAGCACGGTTGGCCTTCTGTGTGCCGTCAGCCGATCGAAGGAACAATCGGTGGGAGGTGGACTTTGGAGACACCTCAACGGTTTCGTCAGCCAATCTAAGAAGGGATCGGTGGGAGGAGGAAGCAGGGTGGGTGGCGGAAAGGTTGGAGGGGGAGGTTGGAGGGAAGGAGGCATGAGAAGGGGAGAAAGTGTGTAGATCCACATCAGCTGCCGACGCCATACGCCTGTGTTGCTTCTTTGCCCCGGAAAACCGCTTGCTGCTGCTGCCTAAGGTTTTACCACGGGTCAGAGTGTTGCTGTCATCATCGGTAACCTGGTTACCAGATGTGGTGTTACCAGCTACTCTGCTACCGCTGCCAGAGCTGGTACTGATGCCATACGTGTTACTGCTACCAAAAGTGTTACTGTTGGCAAAAGTGTTACTGCTACCGAAGGTGTTACAAGTTGAGTGTGCTGTGCTTGTGAAGGCAGGAAGGAGAGGGGATAACGGGGCGAGAGCTCGAACATTTTCCCCTGCTTTTCCTGCTTCCCCTGCTTCCCCTGCTTCTCCTGTTCCTAACGGAAGCAGCCAAGTTGAAGGTGCTTCCCCTTCCGCTCTGCGTCCCTTCGCCCCATGTGTGGTATCACTGTCCGCTGTACCCTCTAAAGCACTCGACTCTATACAAGCTGCAACAGGCACAGCGTCAGTGTAGCTCTTACTGCGGCCCATAAGCAACACGGAATTGACAGTGGTGGATTGCAACTGAGGCTCTGAAATGTCAATCGCAGAAAGAGATTCTCTTCCTCTCCTCAACTTCCCTCCCAACCTGTGGCTTTCCAAACCATCATCCTCCTCTTCCCCTCTTCTTCCTCTTCCTCTTCCTCTTCCCCCTCCTTCGCTCTTTCTTCCTGTTACAGCTACCCTTGTCCCGTTCGTACCTTCTCCCCACTCCTCCCCGTCGCTGTCGCTGCCAAAATCCCCCGGGATCCGGGAGGGAGGGAAGGGGTTCCCGCCAAAGGTGCAGAGGTGCGCGGGGGAGAAGAGGAAGCGGAGGGGGGAGCGTGCAAGCGCGCGGAAGGAGGAGCGATGGGCGGAAGAATCCACTGATGATGATGATGCAAATGTTGAAGGATCGGGGATTACAAGGCGATTCTGCTTATGCCGATGCTGGTGCTGCTGCCGCTGCTGCTGCTGCTGCTGCTGCTGCTGCTGCTGCTGCTGCTGCTGCTGCTGCTGCTGCTGCTGCTGCTGCTGCTGCTGCTGCTGCTGCTGCTGCTGCTGCTGCTGCTGCTGCTGCTGCTGCTGCTGCTGCTGCTGCTGCTGCTGCTGCTGCTGCTGCTGCTGCTGCTGCTGCTGCTGCTGCTGCTGCTGCTGCCGCTGCTGCTGCTGCTGCTGCTGCTGGTGGTTCTGCTGCTGGTGCTGCTGCTGCTGCTGGTGAGAGGGTGGTGGTTCAGGTGATAATTCAGGTGACAGGTTTGCAGGTTCAAACACACTGTGCGCTGATTGGTCGCCTCTGCTGCTGGTGCTGCTGCTGGCGGCGAATCTGCTGGCAGTAGGGGAATGAAGGTCAGGGCCAGCAGCAGCAGCAGCAGCAGCAGTCAAGTCTCGAGAGGGAGAGGCAGTGAGAGTTGGGGAAAGGACAGAGGTAGAGAGAGAATAAGGAACAACAGCAGCAGCACCACCATCACCAACATCAATGTCCAAAGGCTGAAATCTCCCTCCTCCAGCTGCCCCTACCCCCCCTTTCCCTCCCTCTTCTCCTCCCCCTCGTCTGTCTTTCCATCTCTTCATTCCGGACTGTGACAGGTCGTGTGATGCCCCTGCAGACGTTGATCGGTTGAATATTTTCTTTCGGTGCTTCGCCTTTCCCCCTTTTGCACCGCTCGCACCACCAGCAGCGGGATCGCTAATAATGCTTCCGCCGCCGCTGTTACCGTTGTCGTAATGTTTACTGTTACCACTGGAACTGAGCTGGTTACCACTGGAACCGAGCTGGTTACCACTGGAACCGAGCTGGTTACCAAGCACATCGCTCAGAGCTCCACCGTTGCAATCCAGCAGTCCATTCTCCAAACCTAGAACTGCCTCCTTCACATCGTGATCATGACCGTCCTTATCTTTACTGTGCCGGATCCCTTTTAAAGCACCAAGAAATCTCTTCTTCTCCTCTTTAATCTCAGCCCCCCCCTGCCGACGCTCCCCTGTACCTGCTGTTTCCCCTATTACCCCCATGCCCCCTGATGCCACCCCTATATCCGAACCAAAATCAAAACTCGGGCGGCGGACGTACTGCCCTGCAGGTTTTGGCTTTACAAAACCTAGATTTAATGACCGAGGCTTTGCCGAACGTGCAGGCTTGGGCACCGTACCGCTTGTCAGCTTCTGCTGATCCTGTTGCTGCTGCTGTTTGTGTGGTAGCGAGGAGCAGCGACATATAGGGTAACCATCTGCGAACTGTAGCTGCCACGAACGATGCGCGTCCGCTGCTACGCGTTTCACTTCGTCCCTCTCCTTGGTTCCAATCATCATTCCGTGCAGCTTCAACTTGCTACCAGGGTGGGCTGTAACGGGGAGACAAAAAAGGGAAAAGGGGGAGGGGGATGAGGAGCTAGGGTGAGTGTGGGTGGAGAGGGGAGTAGGGAGAGAAGGAATGAGGGGAAAGAAATAGGGGGTAGTGTTTGCCGTCCAATTTATTAGACTGACCTAATTTTCTGGTCTGACCAAAATGATGGGGTTGAGAGGAAAAAAAAAAACGAGCACCAAACCGGCTTCCTTCGCACCTTTCTTCGCCCAGACGGCGAATTTCCGCGTGTTATCCGTGTTCGCGAACCACCGCTGTAAAAATTCGTCGTTCGTCGCCATCAAATCGTCAGCGGCGACGACCACCAATCGCCACCAACACGCGACGCGATTCCTCGCACCGCCAGCAGTAGCAGCGTCGTCGCCACCAGTGACGCTCGTTGAATCAGAAACCACCGATTCCGCATCCCACCCACCTAAGCGCCCGGAATTACCTCCCGTGAAAGAATCTTCTCTAGTTAAACCTCCGGCTAACGTCCCCTTCCTCCCTGACGAATTGCCAATACCCGCGCCGCGACTTATACTATTCCCTTCGCCGGCTCGGCTAGGAGCCTTCACGGGAATCGCGAGCACCGGAATAACATCGTACACGTCACCCACGCGCCGCCGATACGCCTGCGGTCCGATTTCGAGCGCCTCTAGCGGCGCGCTGCTTAATAAGTCCATGTTCAGTTCCTCGCTCCGACTGCTTCCGCCTAAAACGGCCGTTTGCGGAAGAAACCCGCGCGCGGGGCAGCCTGCGGGTAGCGGCTCGGTCAGAAACTCCAGGGCCGGTTCCGCGCTGACGAGGTGTCGAACCCGCGTCCGCCGCTCCCGCTCCGCCATGAGATCGCTGGCGGAGGCGGTGCTGGAGGATATCGAGGCCGCGACGGAGGAGGAGGTTTCCGCGGAGGAGCTCCGCGCGGGAGGTTGCGCGGAGGGCGCGGAGAGGGGGACGGCGGCGGCGGTGCAGATGAAGCGGCAGCGGCCGAAGTCCCGAAGCGCGGAGGGGTTTTTGCGGTCGAAGAGAGGGGGATGGTGCCATGGATGTGACATCGCGACGGGACGATCGCACGTGGGACAGGTGGTTCCCATCAGCCGAGCCGCCGTGACTCGATGCGCGGGGTCTACCTGCGGAATGCACGTTCCTAAGTCGGTGAAATCCATGGCGAAAGGATTGAGGCTGCCGTGCGAATTGGTCCAGAGGAGCTAGGGGGACTCCCGATCAAGAGGACGACCGGATAAGTCCAGTGGGGCTAACGGCTATCGGAAATCGTTCAATTCCATCAACCTCCCGTCAACCTCCGGCTACCACGACTCGCATCATGCTGGTCGCATCTTTCGTGGATACTATCCAAGAGTAAGGAAAGGAATGAGAATTCGGGCTTCTACCATCATGCTACCCATGGCAAGGTGCTTCGAACAGCGGGTTTCACGGCCGTCGGTGCTGGGAAACACTCGTAACGCTCCATAAATGTGTGTACAGGCCTAGATTACCGCCGCGCTGCGAGCTGAATATTGATTTGAGGTATCGCTACACAGGAGTCAGTATTTTTGGCTGTGAGTACTGGTGGCCACACCTAACAACCTCGATGTTTACCGCTATGAGCTGAATCTTCACACGTAACTGCATGTAGATCTGTCAGACTTCTCCAAGTGAACATAATAATCGGCGACGATGACAATCCACACTCAGAACGCACAACTTATACACGATGCTTCTGCGGTTGGTATCTCGTACCCACGTGCACATTGGGTGCAGTATAATGGGCCTAAGGCAAAAACTACATATGGGCGACGGCGTAGTTTCCGGCGGTTGGTTTTGTTCAGTAGCTACTAGTGATGGATAACTACCTAAGCTGCCTGTCACGATTACACTGCTGCTCTGGCAAGGCAACCCATAACGAGTTTTATGTGAGGGAGTGTGTCAAGCAAGCAATGCAAAGCGCAACGATGACGAGAAGGGGTACCAACGTTGTTGTACAACATGTCGCTGGGCAGGGAAACAAAAATAAAGCAGCAGGAAGGAGCTAGTTCGCGGGGTAAAAAAATCAATACAGTAGCAGAGCTACTGAAGACCGAACGAAAATACAGTAGCTTGTTCGTTGACTCCAAGACAATATAGTTGTACACGAAAACTGTAGACTAATTTAAAGGTGCCGCTCCCCGCCCCAACCCCTGCTCCGCTCATCCTCACTCGCACACATCAAACACAATCGCGCTTGTACTGTGCGGCGACTTGGGGAAGCTACACCGCCCAAAGGCTGGCATAAGGTCGGCCTCACTGTCAGAATCAGCGAGCTCTCGCTTTCTTGCTAAATCCACGGAATTACCCTGGTTTTTCGTCTAGATACGAATACCAGGTGTGAAACATGGGGACTGACAATTCTCTCGCTCTTTGTCTGGAGCTCCGAGAACGCAGGGTAGGCAGCACCAGAGAGAAAATTGAGCTGCTCAGTCGGATGCATCCACCACTGTTAGAATTGAAACACACTGACTTAATGTCAAACAACAGCACAGTATGTACAAAGTAAATACACTTGGCGCACTTCATGAAGGGCTTCAAATATCTGGAAATTGGAATCTAGATGACGCAAACCCCAAACGTTGCGATATCAAGGGTAATGACCCTAATAAACGACCATTCCAGCTACTACTAGCGGTTAGTATGGTCCAGATAGGACCATCCGCCGTTGTCTCTGGACCAGCTCATGCCACACACCAGCACGAAAGCTTGGATTGGTTGGGTTGGGAGTTGAAAACAAAGGTCAGAAAGCCGTGCTCTCCAAAAGAAGTCCACATCATTCACGTGCTCAGCAGGACTCGAACCTGCGCGGGCAGGGGCCAACAGATTTCTAGTCTGTTCCGTTAAAACCCCGGCATGAGCACACGCTTACAACTGAGAAACGTCAATAGTTGTACATTTTGAATTTTCCATTTCACTGACAACGCACGACATGACGGCTCTGTTCGATACGGCCAACTTCATACATACTCAGGGCAGAAAAAATAAACCCCTATAGAATCTGGACGCATTTGCGGGAGGGATCAACCCTGAACATGGGAAAGGGCATTGTTTTTAGGGTTGATGTCTCCCGAGTCGCATCCCTTTCCGATTGGGTTTTATGTTTTGGTTAAGGTTATTTTATTGATCGTAATCAATGTACAAGTCATATAGCATAGAGCTGTCTAAAAATATGGCCAGAGTGGCCAGCATCCCATAAGGAGCACGTGGATCACACGTTATTTCCTTGTCCGGATGACAACTGCCAGCGACCTGGGGAGACGCTATATGCAGAGGCTGTCTACGGGGGTCGAAAAGGGTTCCCCAAGAGCCATGAGAATCTGAGGTTGGGGTGAATGGATGGTATACTGTGTTGGTCAAAGAGGAGGAAGCGGAGATCCTGTGCTCGCTTGATGCTGGAGGATGTGTGTTGTCGCTTTTTGGGAGATTGGCGTCGGCTTCTCCATATCAGAATCTTGAAGGCGATAAGGAACTGGGCAAGAATCAGCTGCAGGATCTCAAAATTCGAGGAGGAGGAGTTGTGGTTCCTGTGGGTGCAGCGTGTCTGCCACAGTGTCTTAACCGCTGCTCCCACTAGTAGGCTCCAAGGTGGGGACTGTCCTACCCGTGACTGTATTGGGAAGAAGATGTGCTCGGCGGTGGTTGTTTGTCCAAGGTGGCGGTCAGCGACAGTGTGAAGGGCCGAGCTGACGTTGCGCGCGGAGGAGCATTCGAAGAAAATGTGCGGTATTGTCTCGACGACCGCGGCTGGGCAGCGAGGGCAGATCCCCCTGTCATCAAAGTATTGGAAGCGAGACCCTGAGGGAAGGGTGAGCGTGTAGAATCTGAAAAGGATGTCCCGCTGGCGGCTCGGCTGATCCCTGAGAAACGAATGTGTAAGGTCAGGGAGAGGAGGAGGAGGGACGATGAGGTCGCCTCCTTTACTCAGCACAACCACTAACTCACCACCTCCGATGGGTTTTATGTTTTGGGTCAAGAGGGTGCAATATATTTCTCCTGAAGTCGGCGGCTTCCCGTAGTTAGGGTTGATCTGTCTCGAAATTCATCTAGGTTCGCTACAAAAAAGCTTCAGGTGCTGCATTTTCTGTAGTGGCTGTATTCAGAAAACTACCAGAAACACCTACTACTATATCGCAAAACTCTGTTTCTGTTGGTGATTATGTCAGAACATTATAGCTTATGCTTTTGTGTAGGCTGTAGTGGGGTAGCCCATATGGGGTACAACCCAATT